TTGTGCATAATTTCTACCAGGTATGCACTTGACCATAATGCCAAGGGCACTGCATTAAAAACTGCCACAAGAAGATATCGTTTCCATCTTTTCCGCCAAACAGCCACGACGGCCATGTTCTGATAGCGAGTCTCGATTACAAGAGATACGCTGGTGAAAAGCCACTCAATCTTCATTATAATTGACGTTTGGAAAGCAAACGATTGAAGAAACTTTAGAAAGGGTTTACTTGGTAGGTACACAAACTGATATAAGTACATTGTGTCGTAAACAGACATGACACCAATTGATTCATATAACATGCTTATGATGGCAATATCAGCCATAAGTCTCACAGCGAGGAGTGCGAAAACTTCCCCAAGGAGCTGATGTCCTTCTCAAAATAACGTGGCAGTAGTGATCGATAACGACCATTATGCTCCGTTCTAAGACTTCCTAAACTCCGTGAATTATTCCAAGAGTCACCATGGATCGTAAACCGTGTAGATCCGCTTGTAAAACTCGTGACAAAATCAATGAGCCGAAATACACCGGCGCAATTAAAACGTATGATTGTCCGGGATGGGTAACATTCCTCAGTCGCTGAACGGAAATCCTGCAAATGATTTTGAACACAGCCCCAACAAGTGGAGCGAAGATAGCGGTTAATAATTTACCTTCCTTGTTTTGTTCGTTGTATGCAGGGTAGATGGAAAAAACCGTGATGAAACCGAGGATATAACACAAACAGCTGGGAAGAATCAATTGTAGGAATAAGGTGGCTCTTTGTCTCCTCGAATGGCCGGCCGAGAAATGGGTGGTTACAAGATATAATTGCCAGCATATATGCAAGAGAAACAAAAGAATAGGCGGCAATTGTGGTAACCCAAATACCTCGGACTTGGATATTTTAAGGCTTGCAGACCAACATGACAAAGAGCATCCAAGCAATACACAACAAACGTGGCCAGAAAGAGTTTTCTTTTTAAACCCATTAACTGATATGGGCGAAATAGGAATAATATACCGACAGGGAACTATATATAAAGAATGGCGAAACAGCGATTTTAGCAGTGCATCTCATCCATTGTAATTGTATTGGTATTGATTCCATGGACCGGAACTGACAGTTGAGTACAGTTTTGTACGAGAGATAAGTGAACAATACGGAAAGTGAGCCTATGGTAGTCGCACTTAGAAATGAAATTAAAGCTCCGGTGTACATTGATTTACAAAACGTGCGGAGAACGGATGGTCTGAGTCGCTTCCAAGCCATGTCCTCATCCTCATCTCGCTGATCTTCGTTTTCCTCCAGTGAACACACGTTCATAACTCTTACAGCAAGAGTTCTCGATGGCGGATAAAAGCACCCAGCTGTGTTGCCCCTCTCACTATATTCCTGAAAAATAAACTCATCAAAAGGGCGATAATTCCACTCCTGCGGACCTGTGCTTTCTAGAGGATCGTATCCCAAAGACTCTGCCGTGAATTCAGGTTCTTCTGAATCAAACTGTTCTGTCACGCCTCGAGTAAAGCTGATAACGGTGTGGCCAAACACCTCTATCAGTGTACTGCTAATCATTCTGGATAGGTAAGTGATTGTGGGAACACAAACTTTAAACCTAAGTTGAGATGGAAGATTAACTATAATTTTCAATAGCATTATCTCTTTTGATCCATGGGAGCTCATATCGAAACAGCTGACCACGCTGTGTACAATTTCGGTATTTAGATGCAGTCTCATCTCTAAAGTTTCCTGAAATTACCATGTATTTCAAAGAGTTATCGCGACAGAATTTTCATTTTCTGTAAAGCTACCTAACAAGCTTCAAACAAATAATGTATCTGTCACGTGCAACGACACGTGACGATATGGACTAACGTTTTTACGTCAGGGCAAAAGTGTTTAAATAGAACATGAGGCCAGTAAGAACCTCGTGACAAACTTGGCTTTAATTAAGTTGAGTTGAAGAAACTCCTATTATCATTACCAATCATCATACTTCATTTGATGATATCAACATGTAACCAATCGTCTCCATCGCCAGATAAAAACCACTAAAGCGCAATTTAAGAGTCACGCACGACACATTTGGGTCGGCGTCGTTCCTTTGTCATCCTTTGTAAAAAAAGAAAAAAAAATCCGATCATTAAATTTAACTTTACATTGTGCGCAGTAAGAAAAGGAGCTTTTAAGTAAACACGAGTTGTTAGTTCCACGCGAGGGTTTAATCGTGAGAAATACTTGCACGCGATTGACGCCGACATTACCGCGTGTCGCTGTCTGGATAACATTCGTATTATGACAAGAAAGGTCAGCTTTATTACTCTCTCCATGCAATTGGACGCTGAAAAGTGCCAAAAGATAAATTACGGAAAATTCATTCGCAACACCTTGGCCTCGATTGTACTGTGGCGTAAACTGAGATCTTCTCTTACTGATAATAATTATTAGGAAGATCTCAGATCCGCCTCAGCCTAATTTGCATAAATTTTTTCGGAGGGCAAAGCTCGTCATGGGACGGGCAGTGAGTACCATCTTCATTTAAATCATCATTGTGCATGAGCTTACACATATCGCAATTCTTATCCTCGCTGTGTGCGAGAGTTTTTCATCATAGCCCTGAGGACACGAGTTACTTATAGCTTGGCGGTAGAGCGTCCTTAATACTTATCGGAAGGTCGAAGGTTCAATTTTAATTGGTAACACTTGGAGTTTTTCTTTCCATCCGAGTATGCCTGAACATTTTCCTTCACTTAAACCACCAGGCTTAGAATTAACCATCTTCATTTAATCATCATTGCGCATAAGCATCATATGGGCATTCCTACTCTTGCATTATGCAGGACGTTCCCCCCCCCCCCCCAAGTTGGTTAAACTGCCTACCTTATCCCTCTCACATTTAATGTTCATTTCCAGGAAAGGAAGGGTGTTGTCCGCGGCAGTTTCCATGGTGAATTTTTAGGAGGGATGTTTTGAGCTCAAAGCATCAAGAAATGAGGAAACCGCTTGAGGGCTAGGTATGATTGTAAATGTATTGTCAACATAATGTTTGTAAAAGCTAGGTGTTTGGCTCCTACGTGGAGCACATAAACGTGTCCGCTAGTAAAGGTCTTAGGCCACGCCGTCAGTCTGTTCATAGAGCTCGCCGTCAAATTGGGACAGTTGTTCTTTAATTGCTACTTAATTAAATTACTTAATTTAATTCGCTGTTTTTCTCCAAAGCCGAACGTCTTGTTAAACCAGTATTTTTGTAAAGAAAGCCCATACGTCCTCATTCCACATAAGCATCTTTTAGAGACAATAAAGGACTTATTATATGGCAAAACGATTCCGCTTTATCAAGGATGAAGAATGACTTTCTTATTTCGAGAGCCGCGAAAGAAAGCCAACTGTGGTTTGTTACACAATAAACCCACGAGAGTTGTTTATGTTCTCTTTGTTTTGACCGTCTTCTGCAGCTTTAGAGGCCTAACTCGTAATTTTGATTGCTTTAAAAAATTTCCCAAAGAATCTAGAGTTGGGGTTTTCTTTTATTAGTATAGGTGAGACCTGGCTTAGAGATTTAGACCATCATGCTGATATTCCAGATTTTAAATTTTATCCACACACTCCGTAAAGATAGGGCAGTGGTGGTGTAGGGATATCCCTTGGTCTTTATCTAGCCGGCAACCTCGAAAAAAACCGTCGATCTGACTTGAATTTCGCTCATGATGAATGTGCAGAATCATTGTTTTTGGAAGTCATCAGGCCGACAGTGAAAAACATAGTTGATGATAGAAATAAGAGAGATGGTGAGTTTTGAGCTCGGTAAAGGAATAAAGAAAGATGTTTTTCGTCTTATCACGAGTGTGGGACAAAGAAAAAAATTCTGAGTCCCCATGAGGAATTCCTCGCTCTGAAGCTCTACCACTGAGCCACAGAGACTCCACGGTGAGCGAGGTCTATTACAAAGTTCATGTGACACGCGTCCTGCCCACTGCTAGGATCAGCAATGTCGATAGCGTAATGTTTGTAGATAGAAATAAGAGAGATGGTAAGTTTTGAGCTCGGTAAGGAAATAAAGAAAGATGTTTTTCGTCTTGTCACGAGCGTTGATAGTCTTATAAACAGGCCTTCCGATCAAAATTTGCATGATTTTAGCAGAAGACCAGATCCTCTGCTTACAAGTATGGCTGGAATCTGGATTTAATGAACCACTATTGTCATTAAACTTCTGAGGAGTTTTCAGATGTGATTCATTCTAGATTTTTTCCTTTGATCACTCGGCAAACTATTACGGCGATGCTCACATCATAGATAATATTTTCACTAATGATTTGAACGACCCCTCGGTGAGTAGGCTAGTTCCTCCTGATATAACTGACCATCATCCAATTTTTTCCTTTACTTCTCGATCTAAGGGAAAACAAAAATAAAACTGCTTGGGTATCTCTTCGTGATAAAAGCGTGAAAAATATCTCCGAGTTTAAAGAAATGCGTGGGGCGTCAATTAGGATGACTTCTTTGAATACAATGAGACCCAGATTGCGTTCATCAATGTATCCCAGATAAATATTCTACCGTTTACAAGAAATGCCTCCCTCTCAAAAATAGGTTACAGGTCAGCGACAGAGGAAAGACATGCAAATATCTTAACGTTAAGACAAATTAATGAGCGAAAACTAAGTAGACTTTATATCGCGGGTGTTGAGCTTCCATCACGAAGACGACACCAGGCGCGCTCGGAATTCGTAATCGGAAATCGACCCGAGATGGCTTCTTTAAGATGGATTTCGAAGTAGTTCCTCAGGAGAAAGTAGGGAACAAACTACTGAGTCGTTCATTGTGCAAGCGCATTCGCGAGAGCTCTGGGAACTAATAAAGGGGGTAAGTTTTTAAAGTAACTGTGGTACTGCGTCGTTGAGCGTTTGTGTTCGCCCTTTGTCAGCGAAGCTCTGGGAACCAGCCTCGTTTCCAGGGGTTTCTCTTGGATGGCGCTGACGCGTGCGCATTACTAGCTCAAATGTTCGTTTGTAGAAAGCGTGACTTCGAAGCGGAAAGAACTACTGTAGAAGACTTAAAAAATGGCGAGTCCAAAGGACAACGACGAAAGACTGAAAAAACTCTTTGTCGGTGGGTTAAAGAGAGATACCGAAGATGACACTTTAAAGTCATTCTTTGAACAGTACGGGGCTATGACAGACTGTGTTGTGATCCGAAGCCAGAGTAAAGAGTCCAGAGGATTTGGTTATGTTACCTTCGAAGACGAGGAGAGTGTCCTTAAAGTGTTAGAAGACAAGAAAGAAAAAGGCCCTCACTCCATTGACGGAAAAGAAGTCGAAGTGAAACGAGCCATTCCTAGAGATGATCAAAGCTCGACGGCTCATCTCAAAACGAAGAAAATTTTCATCGGTGGCCTACCAGACGAGGCAGACGCCGAAAGCATAAAGCAATCTTTGGCTGATCGAGTTCGCGGCATTACACCAACCAACGTGGACTTAATCATGAAAAAAGAGGACGAGACCAAACATCGGGGTTTCTGTTTTGTTGAATTTGAGGACGAGGACATTGTCGATGAACTGTGCTGCATAAAACAGGTCTCTATCAATGGAAAAAGCGTGGAAATCAAGAAAGCTGAGCCTAAGGACAAATCAGGTTCTCAAGGACAAAGAGGACGCGGTGGTCGCGGAGGTGGTCGTGGAAGTTTTGGTGGCCGTGGTCGCGGCGGTGGCGGCGGAATGGGAGGCAATTATCATGGAGCTGGTGGGTATGGTGCATACCCAGGAGGTGGTTATGACGGCTTTGGTGACGGCGGCGGCTATGGTGATGCTAGTTATGGTGGATATGGCAGTTATGGAGGTGATTACTACGGTAACATGGGTGCCTATCCACAAGCACCTTCTAATTATGGCCCTCAGGGAGGTTACAGAAATAACAGATACAAGCCATACTAAAAATAAAGCAGGTGAGACTGTAGCTTTTGTTTGTGTTGGTCCCCTAAATTTCACTTAAGATGTTTCTTCCAAATCAGGTTAGAGAAGTCAGGTTTAATGAACAATCCATCAAAATTTATTTATTGTCAACTAGTATGACTTCTGGATGTTTTTCTTAAAAATTATTATCATTGTTATGATAGTAACTGTTCATGAAGTTAGATTTGGGCATACCCTAGTGTTACTCACACAAGCCTTTCACTCATTATGGGACTTTATTATGGGACTAGAGGTGTAGTTTTCCTCCTCAATGTTTGTGGCAGTTTCTTAAATTGAAGCTTTTACTCTAGCAAAAGCAAAATGTTTTGAAATCAGGTTCACACCATTTGATGATTTCAACAGAGGGTGAGGTCATCACCATCATATTTGTTTTTTGTCCTTAGAAGACTAAGTTTGATCTGTTTTGATACTTAGGTTTGTCTTAAGTCAACATAACCAGGCATAATTTACACTAAGGCACCCAGGACCTAGGCTACCCAAGAATCAGAGTGTTGCAGTTACAGTTGATCAAGCATATAGATGCAGTCTAAGCTACTTCAGAATTACAGGCATCTTTCATTTGTATTCACAGAGTAGACTATGTTGCATGATTTTAACAAGAAACACTTTTATTGCTATTCTTTCTAAATGATAACAACATCATGCTATTTTTAGAGGTGGATCTTCATCTAAGTTCCTTTAAAGTACAGGTGTAAGTTTAAGCTTCAACTTACTCAAACATCCCTTGATTTAATCTTTGTCCGTAAAATGGAGAAGTTTAAACTTGACAGCACTCTTGCTTTAAAAAAGGACAAGAACAATTTTAGTTTTTTTCTTCTATTGGGAAGTGTTATATGGGATATGTAGTTGTTTTCTGATTTGTATTATGATGTGTACACAAGCATGGCCTTTATTAAAGCTTTGTTGGTTAAGAATAAAGGATTTGTTCATATTTTAAGAGTTGCTTATTCTTGTTCCAAACTAAGAAGTCTTTGAGGTATCCCTGGAGATGTGAATAATAAGTAAACCTCAGAGAAGTGTGCAATTGCAAGCAGATTTTGATATTAATAGTACCCTGTTATTATTTAATGTACTGTAGAACCATGTAAATTGGCTTATTTTTTAAACAAGAAAATAACTGCCTACTTATTATCTATTCTTTAATTACTCTTTTATTCTTTATTCTTTACTCAGCCTTTTTTTAACTCGTAAATTGCGCGCATGCACAAGATTAAGTTGTAGATATGATGTGGAGAATGGTACTCGCTTGCTCAATTGGTCGATTCCTGTAAACTTTTTTTTTGATTTTAGACTTTTGAGTGCATTTGATAGTTTTTGGTGAGTAATAAACAAACGAAATGGTGACCTTTGTAGCTGAGAATAGTGGTGGGGTGAAAAAGAAGCCAATGATAGTCTTAAAAGAGTTTATTTTTTTCGTTTTAGTTTCAACAAGCGGCGCCAGCGACTGGCAGGCGTGCGAGGATTCACACTGGAATAAAAGAAAAACCCTCATTTTTCGTAAAATTGTAATTTACAATCCTTGAACTTGAAAAAAATCCAAAGATTCATTAAAAATATCACTTACTCCGAAGCGCTCGGAGTTTACAGGTGTTCTAAAGGTTTTTTGTTATGGCATGAGATTGGGGACAAAATCGATCATTACATTTCGTATCATGTGTTTTCTGTGAGAAGCAACAAAAGGTGCCAGCAACTGATGAAATTACAGGTTAACACAAAAATCAAATAAAACCTAAACAAATAATTTTGGCTGCCAATCTTCAGTGAATTTTTAAAGAACAATTTTCTTTTAAGTTTCAAGACAATTTGAAGATTCAAAATAAATATTGCTTACTAAAATGTGAAAGTTATTCACTACAAAATTGATAAATAGGTCTGGAATGAAATTATATCTTGTTCTTGATTATACGTTGCTTAGCACGTGACCAAAATCTACCCAGGCAGAAATCCAAAATGATGGTGGCAGTCTGGGCTTAGTTATATCACTGAAAACTCGTTCCTGTTTGTCTCATTTGATAAAGAGGGAGTCATTAATGTTTTCAGTAAGAAAGTGTTGCCTTGATTTTCCAATATTTACAATGATACACAGTAAATTTCACTTTCCACCCACATTTACTTCCAACCTTTTCTTTTGAACCAGAAACAAAAATGATATATGTTTAAAACACATCATCCACCCTTGTCAAATGTAACAGCATGATCATTTCAATTGTAATGCCTTCTTATTCCAACATTACTTTGTTACTTTGCTACATTAGCAAACACTGAACTACTGCTCATACTCTAAATATGACAATCAACCACAAAATTCCCTAAACCAGATAACATTAAACATGATTAAAAAAATCATGTAAGGCATCTGTCAATTCACGAGTTTACTCACAGAGCACTTTGATTCTTTCACCTGATTGGCTTGACATGTTCATTTTTTCTACTCTTTTTCACATAGGCTCTCAATTTAAAAATATTTGAATATTTCTGAGTTATTACCAGTCATTCAAAAAATTGACAAGACACGTGGGGAAACTCCTAAGGCTCATTTACTGGGTAACACTTGGGTAATTTTTTTTTGGAAAAAACCTTGTGAGATTAGGATGTTTGATGATGAAGATCTCTTACTGGGCAATTCCAATTTTAGTAGTTGACTTGATCTTGTAGTATTCTCTCATAACTATGTAATTTCAATCCCCATCATCCAAAAATATTGATAAAAGATCAACATTTACTACACTAAGCCTGAGAAAATTGTCTTCAAATGTGCTGTGAATGGGTTCAATTTGAAAAGAACTCGATAACCTGGCTGTACCCAGAAAACCACATGATGTGTCCAACAAATAGCTACTGCTCTGATTGTTGCAAAAATGTTTATTTGTCTGAATCAAAAATGCCTTTTTAGAAGCTCCAAGTTGTTTAAACAGAGAGAGTGAGATTAAGTTTCTTCACAGGGAAGCAGCCAGACTTAAACCCTTTTCCACCCTCCTAAGCTAAATAGCAACATCGGTTGTTAAATTTTCAGTACATTGGATAACCTTTTTCATCTACTCTTTGGAATTCTAAAATGTAGTCAGTGTCATTAACTGGTATTTATATCTGCTTGTATTTGAAAAAAATATGCTTGCTATTTTGCAAAGATTGACACGTAGTTTCATGCCTTGCCACATCTCAGCTAGTGGGTGGTTGAAAGTCCAAAGCAGCAGGTGTAGAGGGGATTGAAAAAACCTGATAGCTAGGTTTGCTTGGAGGAGTGCATCTCAGCATGGCTGATTGAAATGCTGGGGGCTTAACATCAAGGCTAGCACTAGCATGCAACCCAGCCACTGGCCTATCCAAGGGTGGGTTGCAAATGGCTCTGTGTCTAAAGCTCAGGGGTGGGAAGGGTAGGTTTTTAACATCAACCAGGGGGGAGGTGGTTTTTCCATAAAAGTGGACTTCTTGATAGCGTTATTTTCAGCCTGTTGTTGTCTTGAACTGTGTCCCATGATTCACAGTTAAACTCGTGCATTAGGACAGCTCCATGAGTGGACTAGATCACTATGGCTAGGTAGGCAGTGGGCTGGGGGGAATTCTCAATTTTTGGGTGAGAGCTTGAAAATTGACTTTTGAGTTTGCTGTCTTCTTGGGTATGTTTTGGAAGACTCACTTAGATTTATATATGCTCTTAAATAGCAACAATAATAGTGAGATGGTTTTTGTTAGAGTATATTATTTTTATTTAATTTAAAGTTCAGATGTTCATATTATTGGTATGTTAGATACCTAAAAAACATTCATCTACTAATTGTAAAACTTGCAAAACTTATTGGGATATATTTTGAACTCACTATTAGCACCCTTGAATCATATCCTTATGGACATCTTTAAACCTGTGACTTTGGTTGATGTTGACAGTTGATCATTTTTATTTACCTGTTCCTATCAAGAGGTCAGATCTGGCTTTAGTATGTGAACATTTGAGCAGAGTGGCATATGAGTGACCATGCAACCTATCATAATGAAATGATTATGAAATTTTCTGTACAGTTTTAATACTTCAAAGTATTCCTCAGCCATTTGTATAAATATTTGCAGTCATTGAAGTTATGGTTGGCATTCATTAATTTATGAGCTAAGATGCTTTTGTTTTTTCAAGCTGTACAATTTCAGATTTCTGTTTTGCCATGAAAATTATTGCTTACATTTTTTGCCCAAACTAAGATTTCAAGATTAATGTTTCCTATTAGCGCTGATACAAATGCTGATGAAGAACAAAGTTATTATTAAAAGACAGATGTGAGCCACAACTGATAAGAGGTATTACCACAGAACATTTTACATGGGAATCATCTTAGGTCATTTTGAGTGGTAAAGATGCCATGGCCACTTCCTCCTTTGTGTAACTTCCAGTCATTATTGAAAGTAATAGTTAGACACTTTCCCTTCAACATATATCTGCAGATGCTGGTATGTGTTTTATGGTGAATCACACAACAAAACCAAAACCTGATCTAGTTTTTACTTAAGATAATAGAGCTTTGGCAGATGAGCAATTGTGGATTGTTATGAAGATAATAAACAGTTTGCTTTATAAGGGCATGTTTAATTTATTTAAATGTATACATCTCCAATTTGCCTATGTGTTTTGAAATAGACAACTATGAAGAAATTGCCAATATATATGGAAGTGCATAATTTGTTTTTTTTGTATTTTTATAACCATATGCACACTTTGGACTGAGATTTACTTGATCAATCACCTCTTGAATTTCTGGAGAACTTTCCACAGGGATCTATTCTTCATTATATTTGAGAATGAAAAAGTCAATTCAAAAAGTCATATTGAAATAACTATATTCCAGATTTGGAAAAAATAACTGGTGCTGTTTTGTAATGTGAACAAAATTACTGAGTCCAGAATACTGGAAATGTAGCATTTCTTTGACAAAAGATAACTGGTTAACTAGAAGAACATATTATTGTCCATATGATCTTGTTGGTTGGGCAAACTACCCTTAATTCTAGAAAAAAAACAAAAAGAAAAACTTAATTTTTTTGTTAGTGTTAACCAGTGATGGTGAAAGTGCCAGTGGTCTTTTTAAAACAAGTCTATTTAATCATAATCTAACTCCAAGTTGATATTTGTCATTTTTTGGAAGTATGGTTAACAACTGTTGGTGAATTTCAAATTCAATTTCAGTCACGGTAGAATAAAAGGAACATGATATAATACCAGTATTAATATTAGGTTATCTTTTTGGGTTCTTATGCAACAGGCAAACTCTTCGTTGGTTGAGTGCCTAATTGGAAACTGGAGTTCATGATGTCATATCCTGAAGGAACACCAACTAGGGAATGAACATCACTGGTAAGATGATATCAGGTTTTTGTTGAACAATTTTCATTTGATTACTCTACCTCTTTATAATGGAGGTTAACTACTGTTACATAGCAAGTCATGGCACAAACTTGGTTGATCAAAATCCAGCAACATGTTCATAGTCAAGTTTTTTTAGATAATATGAAATTATTCATTGAGTGGTACAGCCACAACTAGTTTGAAAAATTGTAAATCAAGGAAAACATTTGATTTTAACATAACCAATGACACATTAAACTTTACTATGTTCCTTGGCATGGGTTTACAGGTCCTGGTTGGGTTTTACACAGGTGAAATTATTTAAATTAGAAAATTTGTAATTTCTTTGTAAAAGTATACAGTAAATTGTTTTTGATCAACAGCAGAAATCTGAACCCATTTGTTATTTGCAGATTTAAACATTTCACTTTGATGCTCATGAAAGGATTTCTACTGGATGGAGGTATTAATTTTTCTATATTGACCAATATTGTACAATGATTGAAATTATTTTCCTCTTGAACAAAGAGTACAACAAGCCAGCCATGTAAAAAATAGGAAATACTATACATCCAATACTCAGAGTGGAAGGCCGTTTGAAGTATGAATTTTTGCTTTCCATTATTTTCCTATGTTGCCACCTTCTACATAGGTTAACTTGTTGCCTCCTAGATTTGATTTTTTTGCCACTATTGCCATAATGTGGGTGACTTTTTACTTTTATCATATGTGCTATCAAAACTTAAGGGTTTTTTTGGTTATCACTCTGATCTTTGTTGGAACTTGCCAATTTAAAAATCGTTTCAAGCGACTCCAGTTTCAATAGCTGGGTCTAGGTTTGGATATATATGTTTTGAAGTTATGCACTGATCAATTCCAAGTTTCGTATCTCCCCCCCCCCCCCTAGCAACCCATGGGAATTTGACCATCATCCCGGGGGTAGGGAATTTGAACCTTACCTGGCTGGGGTGGGGAATTTGGACTTGAAGCGTTAAGTGTTTCCTGAAGAATACAAGAGTTATTTTAAGAATACAGAGGTGTTTAAGGTAAATAATTCACTTTTGCCAGCAAATGGCTCAGAAGAGAAGGTCTACAAAGTTTAAGTTTTAAAGCTTTGGCAAAGTACAGAAAGACATGATAACTAATTTAGTCTTTCGCAAAAATATTGGGTGGGGCATTTGAACACAATTTTTCCTCAGGTCTACTTGATGTGTTAAATAGTTGAAACTTTTTATTTATGTGATGTTCTTAATTTATTGACGGTGCACTATCTTCCCTTTACCTGTAGAAATCTTTGGCACAGACTTGACACAAATAACCAGTGAGATGAGTCTGCAGTGAAGTCTCCAATGAAAATTAGCCGCAGAACCTTGCCACGGTTTTTAAATTAACATTCTGTGTTCTGAAGGACACCATAGGTATGCGGTTATTAACTGCTCGTTCACTGCTAACGGTGTCAAATAAATTGACATTTTTCGAGCCAAAGGTTTTGCTCTTTCAATTTTTTGTCTCATACCAATACGCTTGTCCCTCTTTTCCCACTTGGCTGAGGGGAAACAGAAAGGACTGCTACGCAAGCGAAAAGAGATGGAAGATTGATATGGAAGATAGTTCTTTGAAAACGATTTTGATAATTGTATTCTGAATGAATAGAATCTTTCTTTTCCAAGAAATACTGCTCTATATGTGTTTCCTTCATCTCCTGATTTCGTTGTTAGGATGTAGAAACACCTGACCCTGAGCCTCGATAGGGCCCACATTTACGAGAAAAAGATGAATTAACATCCATATTTTATTGCAACTTTCGTTCGCAAACTTATCTCCTGTTCGCTGAAAAAAATAGGACTCTCTGAAGTTATAGATAGCTTTCCCGCTCATGTAGAAGATCACCTAGGCCGTTTGAAATCTCAACTGTATTAGTGAGTCTCTTGAAAAGTGTTTCCTGTAGTCTGCAAACCGGATGTGGAGTCAAACTTCCTCATGGATCGGCGAAAAGGTTCCTACCAGTTTCTATGCTGGGGTTGGGGGTGCCTCTTAATCACATTCTGGTGTGTGTGGTAGGTGTGGTGTGGCCTATTCACATATGCTAAACACGTTTAGTAAGACAATTTTTTATTGAATAAAAATCAGCGAAGGAACACATGCAGTCTAAATTTAACTTAGGGTTTAAATGATCACTCTGATTTTCATTATGATACAAAAATTAGTCCAGGCAACTGCTATCAAGAAAAACAATTTCAAATAATGTTTTAAAAGCAGCTCTAAAACGTGTTTTATAGTTTGGGTGTGAATGGGGTCACCGCTCTTTTTTAGGCTCAGCACCAATATTTGTGACAGGGCCGATGCCGATATTTGATACAAGCGCTTTGTTTTACCCTAGTGACTAATCGCTGACAAGGAGCTTGAGCTCGAGATTATGTAATCACTGGTCAAAGTAGCGTGGGGGGAGGGGTGCTGCAAGAGTGAAATGATCGACCACGGTGAGTTTCGACTAAATTACGACTTAAATCCATTTTTTTATTTTTTTTAAAAATAACCTCTGTTAGCGTACAGAGAGTGGTATGTTACTCATACCAATCAGATAGTTTGGGGTATGTATCTCGCATCAGTCAGATCGCCGCATTAAGGTATGTATCTCGCACCAATCAGAGCGTCGTTTTTGCTCTTTGATTTGAGAGGTGTTCAAATTTCAACGAAGTAATGGGGGATTCGGAGAGAGCAGTTCGTAAAATGGAATCAGAATGAGAAATGTTGGCTTTCCTGTGTTTTTAACGCGTATTTTACCGCACTTTATGAGAAATGCGATACTACTAGACAGATCAAAGATATCGTGTTACCTTTAGTAACTGTGTTACCCGTGCTGTGAAAATGGTGGATAGTTGTTCGAGAGAAAATGGATAAAGGGGTAAGTTTCTAAAGAAACTGTGGTGCTGCGTCGGTGGGAGAGTATAGCAGGTAATTTAGTGTTAACAACTGAGTTAAAAACTTAAATTAGCCACCGTTTAGGGTGGCTAATTTACGTTTTCAACTCAGTTGTTAACACTAAGTTACCTGCGAGAGAAAATGGAGTCCTGTGCACTGTAGCACGATCATGGTTATTGTTCCTTCACGACGAGAGTGAGTGGAAACATTTTGAATTAAGTATTGCTTGAGGTGTTGATGAATTGCACCAAACATTTTGATTTGAGCAGTTCTTTAACGGCAAGCTGTGCAAGATTCATGATTTGTTGGGTGTGCCGATTATATTTTTCTGGATTTGTTTTCTCGATGCTATCTCTAGATGAATATTTAATTAAAATTAACTATGGACGATTTTGTGTATGTTTTCGATGCCTAGTGAAAGTGATCTTGTGGGGTCGTTTGTGTTTGGCCAGGGACGAATTCAGATACCACCGTTGGCATGTTTAGTTGATTTCGTTATCTGAAATGAATGATTTACAGAGCTTAGTTAATATGATGTGATCTACTAACGTCGAAAATATGTCAAGTCGAAGGAACAATTTTGGTCTCGGTCCGCATTTTTTCCACAAAATAAACACATGCCGCTTAAAAAGATGAGTATACGGCCCACGTGCAAAGCTGTCACTATTGTTTCTCGAACGTTGCGCGTGTTAAATATTCAACAGTGACATCTCATTTACATCTACAGCTTCATCCACTTTTACTACGTTGGTAAAATCTGTACAGACAACACACCAAACAACTCGCACGCAAAGTGAGAAGACTATATGAAGACTTGAAATTATCTCAAGATCAGTTTTAATCAAGAAATGGGCCAGGAATATTTCACAATAGTGTAAATAATAGTGCAAGCTGATCGCGGAAAAGCGATGCGTGACGCTCAGTAAGTTGTAAGATGACATGTTATCACATACCACACGAAAAAACTCTTTAGATTCTCAATCTGCATTTTGTTCCCACTCTGCAGTCTGCAGTCTACATTTTGTATCTAGTCTACATTTTGTACCTAGTTTACATTTTGTATCCGGTCTGCAGTCTTCAGTCTGCATTTTGTACTAACAGGTATCCGTGGCACCAATACAGTTTATTTTTTGTTACAGTTATTCGCGCAACACACACAATCTACCACAACCGAGACGTAGTCGAGTGTTTCCACACTTCTTTAGTACTCTAGCCGCTTCCTGCGTGCTTTACAACAGAACAGAGCACAGTCAAGGCTTCTCTATGTAATGGGTGGGTATGCTTGCAGCTTTCCCGCGCATTTGTCTTTAACACCGTGGGCTCAGGGATGGATAGACCTCGTGACCTGTGACGCATTACACATTCCATCCAGTGCTTGTCGATTTGCATCTAAAGACTGAGTGTAGATAGAAGGTGTGCGTGAAAGGCTGTACGTTAAAAGCTGTAAATTCTACATTTGAAGGTAAGGTATACGGAAGGTTTCCATTTTTAACCATATCCCTCAAGTTTTTAAAATCTTTTTGGTGGAGGATTTTTGCGTTTTCCTGGCTTATCAAGAGTTTGATGGGTTAGCTATTCTCATTCAAATTAAGCCATCCACCGATTACTTTTGCTGTCGTTGAAATTTACTCACGCTTTGATTTACCTTCTATTCATTCTTAGCTGAGGTTTGTGATCTTACTTGACAGTTTTTTTTTCATGAAACGATTTGTCTGTTTGAGTTCCCTATCAAAGGTTTTTGAGTGAACTTTCATTACCACGTGCTCCTATCTGTCGCTCCTAAACACCGCTCGCTTCGGGAAATCAATCTTTTTTGCAGCAAATGAAGTTTCGAAACGATACAAGTAGTATGATTATACAAACAATCCCGTACTGAACTGACAGTTGTGTTGGCAGAAAACTCGATTATTGCGACTTCTGCCTGCCGTCCCTCTTCGAGAGGACATGAGAGCTGCACGGGTGACTGTCATGGCGGCGTCGAATCTTGGCGGCCACGCGGCGTCTCCAGATGACAAAGGAATTGGATGACGCATGGAATCTGGAGTGGTCAAGCACGGACCGAATGTGTGGTAACTACTAAGTAAAAGCGCTTCGGAATGTCAATAAAACGCTGGAGTCTTCAAAAAACATGTATGTTTGATGGTGTGCTAGTATGATGAGATTGGAATAGGGCAAGAAGAATTATTCCCACGAAGTTTCAGATCTTGTGAAGGGTTTTTGCTTTCCGTCGTTTCAGCCATTTCCGTGGTAGTTCAATTTCAAGAAAGGTTTCCCTCCTGATGCTTTCTGACCGCTTAAAGTAGACGCAGAAAATCGGAAAGAACCGTTTCCAACGATAGAGGACGAAGTCTTGAATTCCTGAAGTTTCATAGCCTTTTCCTTTCTTGTTCCAGTTTCAACTTGGTCAACTTTCCATTGTTTCAGTAATAGAGAAGCTTTCCTTCCAAGAACGAAGTTCTACAAATGTTGTTTTTTGGTCGTGTGCAGTGTAAAATCAGAGCTTTTTTCGTTGTCTCTCCCTGAATTACCTTCAATTTGTTACACATTTTGGTTATTCTTTCCCTGCTGTGTACCCAAACGATTCGAGTTTGTGCTGGTTCACAATTGTTAATGTATTGATAATGAGATATGCTGCTGGCAAGGATTGGAGGAGAAGTTCAGAGTAATGAGTTGGGTTTTAACTGATTTCATGCTTTCCTGGAATTTGTTTAAAATTTTCTGTGGCTGAAATGAAATTATATGGAAGGTTTAGTTATGTGTTCATATAAGTACCCAGATGACTCAAAAGTTTATTTGAAGAATTACATTTTTATGAGGAAGAATAGACCCCGAACAGATTTATTTCATGGTCACTAGTAACTGATATTTTTTGGTGACTTCCACACTTAACACAAGTTAAAATTAACAAATGGAGTTTTGATTTAACTTGGGTGAAACTTGTCTTTATGATTTCCCAAATCTCTTTATTTCAGTGAAAAGGGAATCTAGTATTAGATGCTACCTCCATTTCTGTGTTTTATCTCTTTGTTCTCTGTTTTAGTCAATTAAGCCCTAGAGGCTTTGTAAATTGTTACTTGGAGGGCTAAAGATTTGTAAAAGGATACTTTTTATAATGTGTCTGAGTTTGAGAAGGTGATTATGAGCACAGAAGCACTGTTGGTTGCACAGACATGGTTTGGCGTAGCACCAATTAATTAAAATGGGGTTTTGAGAGAAAATTGCCATCAGTTTTTTCTAGTCTGTAAGATATCTAAACAAATATTTTATCATGGAAATGAACTATTCAAACTGAAATAGAATTTTATTGCTTTTGAATAAAGAATTTTTCAAGTTTCTTGTCTGTATCTCTCTGACTTTTTTTCCACATATTTTGCTTTTCTATTTCATTTTTCAATTTGCCCTTTTTCAGTTTTTTTGTAACATTTCACTTTTGTTGCAGGTGAACATGGCTAGTTTTTTTAATTTCATATTTATCACTGAATTTGACTCTCGCAGTCTATTTTTAATTTAGTTAAAATTGAAAGAATAGTTGCCATTGATGTTGTTTGAAGGGAAAAGATTTGTTACTTTCAGCGGTTTGGAAAATTCTTTAACCTTTATTTTTTTTCATTAACTTAATTGCTCAGGAGAGTATTTAAAGTTTTATTTTAAACTAATGGAACTTTGTGTGCTTCCTTTTAGGCTTGTTCAATCATGGCTACTGAAGGCTGGGAAAATAATCCAGATTTGAAAAAGCTTTACATTGGAAAGCTTAAGCTTGAGTCAACTGAGGAAAGTCTAAAAAATCACTTTGGAAAATATGGAACTGTCACTGAAGTCAAGATAGGCTTAGATAAAGATCATAACCCAAGGGGGTTTGCCTTTGTGTCAATGTCTGATCAAGCAGCAGTGGATCAAATCTTAGAAGATAAACCACAAGTTGTTGATGGCCAGACTGTTTACCCAAGAAGGGCAATTCCAAGAGATGATCCAAACCCACTGGCTCAGTTGAAAACAAAGAAGCTCTTCATAGGAGGGCTTAATGAAGAGGCCTCTGAAGAAGATATCAAGAATGTGCTGGCCATATTTACACCCCATCAACCAGAGAAAATTAAACTGATGTTTGACAGAAACACCAACAAATTCAAGGGCTATGCATTTGCTTGGTTCCAAAATGAACACATAGTGGACAAGCTATTTATCATCAGGAACTGCACAATCAAAGACAAGAAAGTTGAGCTCAAGAAGGCAGAGGAAAACAGTGGACAGGGGGGAGGTGGTCAAGGTGGAGGTGGTGGATTCCGTGGTCGTGGTGGAGGTGGATTCAGAGGAAGAGGGCGGGGAGGAGGAGGAGGAGGAGGTGGTGGTGGTGGTGCAGGTTATAATGGTGCCTACTCACAACCTACCTATGGTTCAGGTTATGAAGGTTATGAAAATTACGGCAGTGGTGATTACTCTTATGGCAGTGGTTATGGCTATGATGGTGGTTATGGTAGTTATGGTGGTGCCTATGGCAGTGGTTATGGTGGAGGTTATCACAACATGGGGGAGTACAGTTCTGAAGCGTCTTCATATGGTCCAAACAGGCGTGGTGGACAAGTGCGTGGACGTGGAGGAGGGGGTGGTGGTGCTGGTGGTGGTGGGTATCGGCCTTACTAAGCCAGAAAGAACTGAACACAAATGGAAATATTTTGTGTTATTGAACACTGTGTATTGTACTGTTTATTGATTGAAAATCTTGTGCACTTCTGGAATTGGACACTTGCAAAAGAATTAGTATCATTTTTAGTAGCTGTACATCAATAATTGTGAAAACATGTACTTTTAAACCTGTATTGTAGGTTGGTTGGTTGTCCATAGCAAAGTAGGATATACAACTCATCAACAGCACTTGTCCAGCTATGTGATCTGAACTGAAAAGTTTGAAATTTTTCCATCCTTGTATGTCTAACCATAGACTGTACAAAGTATTTTTGACTTGTGCAGGTCCAGGAGGATGGCATAATTCCAAAAAACAATATTTCCTGAAGTACTTGTGCATTTAGATTTTAAAGCAATCAGCATTTTTCATTCAAGGGACAAAGCAGACTTCTTTCAGTTGAATATGTACTCATTGAATTTTAAACCTTTGTATTAAAGACTGTATGTTGACATAAGTAATTGTAATCCTGTGTTTGTGGGACAGATTTTTTATTATCTAGATGAAAAGAAAGAAAGGGTTCCCACCCTAGGGTCCCATAGCATTCTAATGATATTCCATTATACTCAATCAGTGATAATTGATTCCCCTCCATTCCCCCTGAAAACAGTGTGATCCCCTCCCAGGTGATAATTAATTTCTGACCCTTATAGCCTGATTCTAGTTTAGATAGCTTTCAGTATGTGAAATCTCTCTTTCCTTCTTGTTTTTTTAAAGACTTGACCACATAAGGTTTCTGAGAATCTTTTAGACAACTTCAAAGAGAAAGTTACAAGCAACCCTCTCCTCTGATTGACTACATCAGCCTGGACACTGCAACTTCCCAGAAAAAATCTTTTATTATTTTCAATTTGCAGAGGTTGACAGTAATGTGAAATCTTTGTAGACTTTGTGATTGCAATGAGATGTTATTTAGAACAATTTGTTTTTAGTGGTGTCTAGCATGTGTTATGTAATAAGCTCAGTTATGCATGCATTCTGATTGGTTCTCACTTGTGATCTATTGGAGGAAAGACGTATAGATGACATCATCATTAAAACTTTTTTTAATTCTTTATTATATAAAACAAATAGATTCCAAGTTGCCGTACGTCTGTTCAGTAATAGATTACAGAGGAAGTCAAAATGTGGTAAGAACATCAGTGATACACTCGGCTGCGCCTTGTGTGCCACTTGTTTGTTCTTACCACATTTCACATTTTCACATCTGTGATCTATTACTGAACAGATGCATGGCAATTTGGAATCTATTTGTTAAAATTACGTTGTTTATGTGGAGAGACTTAATTTTTAATTATTTGAGTACCACTGCAGTGTGATTCATTTCTCTTGTGGAGATAATATAACATACAGAGCTTTTTCTGAGGCCATACCAGGAATTGTTGACTGACCTTTCTGAGCAACAAAAATACAAACATACACCTTGAAAACACTGACTTGAGATTTCATTATTCTATTTGTTTTTTTAAATTCACATAAGGTGGTCAGCAGACCAGATACTTAAAGAAGAGATTTCTTCTTTTTGTCAATTTTTATTTGGAATTTGGTAAAGGTAAAAAATTTGAATTGACTTTCCATATGTATCATTTCACTGGTCTATTCTTAGATGACATCCATTGTCTTCAAACATAAAGATATCTTTCTGAGTTATAAAATGGAAATAGGAAATGTCTACTGTACCCAAGCTATAGCTGTGAACTTGATTGTTACAAGGAAGACTGGTATTCTGTAATGATTTTGTCTGAAATATTGAAGAAAATATCCAAGTCTACACATGCTGAGGAAGTAGATTGAATTCATTCCAGCTATCTTTAGTTGGTGTAAGATATTGAAAAGCTCATGTTAGTTTGGAATTGAATGTTTCTGACATCCTACATGACATTACTCCATGGTCATAAACCTGGCCTATTTCAATAATACTCATTTCAACACTACAACCAATGCAACAAATAAGCAAGACGTGTAAATTTAATACATTAGTGAAGTCTAATTTTGGTAAAACAAGCTCAGAATCTTCTATCTTCCTACAGAACTCTTCCACCAGTAGATTAAGATGTATGAGCTTGGGCAAGCTTACACCTTGCAAGAGAGGGCCATAAGTTAGAAAACTGTAAAAGGTTATTGTGTCTCCCTCTTTGAATAAAGTTATTCATTCATTTAAAAGAAATTCAAGCTATCACAGCCTGACATAGTTTGAACCTTAAATCAATGTTATAGATGGACAGGGTATGTTTCCTTAACATTAAGATAATTACAACATTTCTTTACCCAGAGTTCTATAAGACCTGTTGGGATCAACTCTCCAAGGCACCTTCAAAATTTTTTGGAACATCTACAGGAATTTTCTCTGTCTTGTGACACTTATGTAGACTTTTACATATGATTGGCACTCTGAAGATCTTGCCTTCTACTCATAAATGTTGCCTGGTATAGAAAAAGAACTGTCCATGTGTCTACATCCCCAAGGTTCAATCTTAGAACTATCTATTGCAATAAAATAAGACTTGTTGACATGTGGCATATAGTGATTATTTTAGAGGTATACAATTTTTGTTTACAGAATGTGTAGATCATTAGAACACAGTGAGTTTTTTATGGTTCTTGCTATGATGTAGTTTCTGCTGTATATGTTTCTCTCTGTCATGTAGTCGAGATAGATGTGCCTTGATGCCTTCAACTTTCCCTCTAAAGTGCGAGGCTGTTTTGTTATCCCTAAAAAATTATAACAAACAAACCATTGATGAAATTTTGTCCAAAAGTTTTCAGTTACAAGTAATCACATCTGTGAAGATCATTAGAAGTGGTGGGTATCTTTCTCTTTTAGTTGCCAATGTAATGTGTAACTTGTTACAGTGGCAGCTTGGCAAGTCATCCCCTTCCTCTGTTACTAGACAAGCAAAAGTTTTCTTTTACCACCCATCTCTCATTCTTTGGCACAGAACATCTTCCCATGTACTTTTTAAACTGAAAGGAGACTTACTTTTCATGATGTCTACTCAGAGCCATTTCTTCTTTCTTCAACTGCTTCTTGACAGCTGATATATCCTCATGTATCTTAAATAACTGGGTAACAAGAATATGATTTTAATATACTGTTTTCATTAGGTGAGACAACACTGAATGGAACTATTAAAGAGCTCAAAATTATTAAATCATCCCAAAGAATGACATATGGTGGAAACCACCATCTAATTTGGGGAGTTTAGCAAAGGTGAAGACGATGTTATCTTCAATCACTTTATACTTGTGGAAAAATTATTTCTTTATAAAATTAACAATTGGTTCATTTGTCAGCGTGCGCTCATCGAGATATGAAGCATGTGGGAAGTTTGGAGAGCATGAAAGATGCATAAGAGTTGCTTGAGGCATAGCTGAGAGCAACTCTAGCCTCTTGAATGCTCTCCAAACTTCACAAGTGCTTCATATCTCGATGAACGCACAGCTGATTTATGAACCAATTGTTTTATAACATTTTCAACCCAATGGTTTAAATGTTGTAAAAATTTTTTTCTCAAGGGATTTCTTTGCTGACGTCATGAGTGTGCACAATAGGAATATGAAGCATGCTCACACAATTGAATTTGATTAGACAAATTTATGTGCTATGTTATAATGCAAATTGATTGATAAGAATCCATCTTTAAACATATTCTTAAGATACAGAGTGGCAAATGGCAAATAGCAAATAGCAGCAAAATAAAATAAGACAACTAAACAACAACAACAATGGGAAAAACTTAAATTACAAGCAGTTTTTTTTCTTTTAATATTGTTTCTTGAACGCACAATATTTTGTTATTCTAGTCCTTGATCTTGAAGTTTTTTCTTTTAAGATTTAGTGTTTGACACTATTTATTATTGTAATTATATATTACTTTTAGTATTGTGATTATCTCGTTATTGCTTCCATATGTACTGTACAGTACCATGTATTCTGTCATTTGTGAAGGCATTTATTAAAGTAACAATAGCAACACTTAACCCTTTAACTCACATGAGTGACCGAGACAGAATTTCTCCTTACAATATCCATACAATATCAACCAGACAAGTGATGAGAATAAAGAAAAATATCCTTTTGAGGATAATTAGTTGATCCAATACTAAATTCTCTGAACTAACATTTTAAGAATTGTGTGGTTGATAGTAAGGAGAATTACAAATTTGATCTGGGAGTTAAAGGGTTAAGTACAAACAAATTATATCATTATTACAAATGGTAATAACACTGGGAGACAGGATAGTATTTTAGCTGCAAGGCCAACTGAGATCTGTTGATGAAGAGAAATGACTTTCCGTACTGTCCCCCCCCCCTCAAATAACATCCAAGAGGATGTTTAGAGTTCATAATATCCAATATATATTTAGAGTTCTTTAACAACCTGTACATGTAGTCTACAACTAACAAATAATATGGTTCACTAAATATATTTAAGACTCTTCAGATGAAGATATTATGTCCTCCAACTCTATCAATAAGCTGTGGTAATATTTTCTGTCTCTTGATTTGTACAACTGTAAACCACACCTGTAAATTCCAATTTATATTTTTATCCTCTCCCTTCTTTTTCTTTCCTGTGTCTTTAACCTCAAATTCACTTGCACTTGTCCCAGGAACAGGAACTCTTATGTCATGAATATTTCCTGAAGGAGGAAGTGACCCATTACCCACTGCATATAATAAATCTTATCATCATATTGAATTGATAAAGATAATAAGATTGCCATGGTTGACAGTGATCTCAAACATTAGGGCAACCTTGAAAATCCCAACATAGTTAGCTATCTTGCATATGTAAATTTACATTTAATTGGCATTCATAAGATTTTCTCAGAAAATTTCCAAATTTAAGAACTAAATTTTGATACAAGTATAGGGATATCTACAGCTTAAAAGCCAGGACTTCTTGCCTAATCTGTGATTCTTTTTTTTGTAATCCTTTAAAAATTACTACCAAACATTTTCTTGAAACAAAAACTGAGAAATTATACATCACCTTTCTTGCCACCAAGTTTTATGTTGATAAAGTCAAATATGTCACTACCAGATGCCTGAAATTATGCATCAAAAATTGTTGAAAGATGTTTTAATTTTACAATGAGATGTACTAATAATGAGGTACTAATTTTGTCAAGTGAAATAATTTTCAACAATTACAAAATAACATCAACCTAACCACGAAATAAATAACTATTATTGTTAATTGGACCCTTTTTGATTTAGAAAAAATTGTAAAATAAAGCAACATGCATCTCCCAGATTACAGGAGAGAAAGAATTGTAAAATAGAGTAACATGCATCTTTCACACAGTCAATAAAATGAAAGCTGAGACCAGCATAGTGAATTTATATTTCAAATAAAGCAATAGGCTTCACAGCAACATTTTTTGCCAAATAGTTAATCCTTGTAATAATGACTAAGCTTGCTCAATGAAGATGGCTGTATTATGGGTGTG